GACTCAACAATATAAGCAAAAGTAGTAATATTATTCATTGAAGGACTAACTTAACTCCTACTTTGTTCAACAAAGCACCAGAAATTAAATTTCTACGAAGAGAAGGAACATACAGCACATTTTGAAGAGCCAAGGTCTTCCCTGAAGTCAGCTTCAGAACCACTTTACCCTTTCCAAGTACCTCAGAGCTGCTTGAATTTCCCATGTAGACTTGTTCACCTTCCTTTGATTCTTCCATACTAACAAACAGGTCCTTGTTAGCACAGAAGTGTTTAGATGCACCAGTGTCCACGATCCATTCACTGTTGTTCTCAACCAGGTTGACTTCAGAAACAACTGCAGTGATGACATCTTCATCCTCATTCTCAACCAGATGAGCCTAACCCTTGTTCCCTCCACTCGATTTCATATTTTTCTTCTTCTTGTTTTTGCATTGTGAAGCAAAGTGCCCCACTTCACTACATGACCAACACTTGACAGTGACTTTCTTTCCAATCTTGCCCTTAGCTTGGAGATTTCCCTTCTTATCAGAGCTCCCCTTCTTGGCACGATTATCACCTGCTTTCTTGTCAGAGTCAGCACCAAATTCAACAAGGTTAGCCTTGATTGCTAACACATTATTTGGCTAAGAGGAAACATCCTTAAGCCTGTTGGCTTCCTCAATCTTCATGTGGCTCACAAGTTCTTCTAGGGTTAAATCCCTCTTTTTATGCTTGAGGTGATTTCTATAATCAGACCAGGAATCAGGTAATTTTTCAATCAAAACATTAGCATGAAGGATTTCACACATCTTCATACCCTGAGCAAGAATTTCAGCAACATAATTTTCATACACATGGACTTGGTCCATAATAGGCTTTGTATCAACCAATTTGAAATTCAACCAATTTCCAATCACATACTTGTTTTTCCCAGCATCATCAGCACCATATTTCTTATCTAAAGACTCCCACATCTCCTTAGCAGATTTCATATTAACATACAAATCAAATATGTTGTTTTTCATGCTGTTCAAAAGATGACCTCTAACAAATTTATTATTACGATCAAATTTCTTGATTTCAGATTCATTAGCAATAACAGTAGTGGTCCTTTGACTAGAGCTAGATTCTTTATTCCCAGGAACAGGAGTACTAGGAATTTTAATCATGGTATTGGTCTGCTCAATAGGTTTTGGAGCATCCCTAAACAAAACATAATCAATTTCTACTTGTTCAAAAGCAATCAACATCCTTTGTGACCATCTCTTATAATTAATTCCATCAAGAGACTCAACCTTAGACAGATCTAGGTATAGACGAGTTTGAGAATTGCTAGTCATGATATCAACAGAATAAATCAAAATATTTCGCTTCTAAATTGTTGGTAAAATAACTGTTGAAATCAATAACAAACAAAGATTAGAACTTTCCTGGATTGAAGATCCCAAACTCACAGTCGCGCCGTGGAACAAAACCACTGCCTTAGAAGCGAAATACGCCACCACCGGTTCAAGTTTCCTAGTGAAGCACGCGCCCCAAGTTTAACGCAACTCTCTCCGTAATCCGTGCACCCGAACTCGGAGAGTGGAATTGCTCAAGAACTGTTCAGATCTCAAAAGGTATGTTTGTGTTTTCGGCTAGAAAGTGAATGATCTCATGAAAAGGCAAGGCTCGTATTTATATGAGTCCCGGAAAAAGGAAATACGCAAAGCAAACCGACCTAGGAAAAAGGCGGGCCCGATCGGGCAAGCAGCCGCCCGATCGGGCACGAGATTAAGTTTCTCCAGACCTGGTGTCGCGCCCGATCGGGCGAACACCGCTCGGTCGGGCGATCTAGAAACCCCATCCCGGGCGAAGCTGGCCGATCGGGCTCGTCAAAAACTCGAGTCCGCCGCCCGATCGGGCTCGTCAAAAACTCGAGTCCGCCACCCGGTCGGGCGAAGGCCGCCCGATTGCCGCGAGAGTTCTCCTATTTTCCTTGGCCACCTCCGCCCGATCGGGCGCGAGCATCCGTTTCATTACCTATTTCCAACAGAGAAATCAATGTAACCATGATTTCCTAATTGCCCACGCCAAATGTTATTAACAATGATCGACTAGCTCTTATCTTACAATTACAATACGTAAGTCTACTTATAAATAATTACAATCACCAAGAACCATTTTAATAAAACATTATAGTAGCAAAAGACACCTAAATTCAGATACTTTACCAACCGGTAGTTGCATGGGTAACAGGTTACTTCTCAAAATGCTTGAATCTAAAGTTAAAGCTAAACATTGCAAAAACCATGTTCAAAACACGTACCAAACTCGTACAAATCTTTCTTCCTTCCTTCCCTTAACCTTCCAAGATTAGCCGAAATCCAAAATGACCACACAACAATCTCCCAATCGCGCTAAGTACCATTCCATCTTACCTATCGCATTGGCCTGTGTACTTGTGCTAGGGACCGCGAGGCTAGTGTTTGACAACCTAAAGAGTAACCGAGAAAGTATTTTTGGCCAATGGCAATTTTGGTTACGAGGGGGTGGATTTCATAGGTACATATTCAATGCATTTGATGATGATGATAATAGTTACGAAGATATAGAAGATTGTAACGTTTTCGACGGGAAATGGGTTTGGGATAATGTGTCTCGCCCGTTGTATAGTGAAGAGAGTTGCCCGTTTTTGGTTAAACAAGTTACTTGTCAAAGAAATGGAAGACCTGATAAATCTTACCAGAATTGGAGATGGCAGCCTAATGAATGCAATTTACCACGGTAACATTATTTTTTAGTGTATGGTAAAAAGTTTTGATGTGAATTTATTTTGAAGATTTGACTTAACAAGTTTAGAGTATGAGAATATGAGATAAAATTAATGTGGAAATGTTGTTCGGATGGAGCATCTAAATGTCTAATGTCGAAAAAGTTGTAAGGAAAAACAGTGGTTATGTTGAATACACCTGTTGTATACAAGACCTACTTTAATTTACGCACTGTTTTTAAAAGTAAGGTGATGGCATATATGATGTGTACAGGTTTAATGCAGTAAAGCTATTGCGTATGCTAAGGAACAAACGCTTGATGTTCGCAGGAGACTCGATTCAAAGAGGTCAATTCGACTCGATTATTTGCATGTTACAGTCTGCAATACCTGATGGAAAGAAATCACTTCATAAGGTTCCTTCTAAGAAGATTTTCCATGCTCAGGTAATTTTAATTAACAAGTATTTCTTACTACAAATACTTTCACTAATTCAAATTTAATGTAACTTTCATGACATAAAAAGAAGATTAATTATGTATGGAATTGTTACGCAGGAATATAATGCTACAGTTGAATTCTACTGGGCTCCGTTTATAATTGAGTCAAATTCGGACCATTCTACAAATCATTCAGTGCTTAAGAGGCTGGTTAAGCTTGATCGTATCGCTGATCACAGCAAAAACTGGGAAGGAGTGGACATTTTGGTATTTGAAAGCTATGTTTGGTGGATGTACAAGCCTATCATAAATGCAACGTAAGTGTTAATGGTAATTACATATTCAATCAATGATGTGCTTCATTTATACTATAGATGCTGTGTTCTAGCTGATTGATTTTTCCGCGATTTTCTTTTCTTTGGATGGCTAAATTTGTTGGAAATATATGTTATAGGTACGGAAATATCAATGATGTACAAGAATATAATGTTACTACTGCTTACAAAATGGCATTGCAAACATGGGGAAACTGGTTGGACTCGAGCATCAATCCTCAGACACAGAAAGTCTTCTTTATGAGTTTGTCTCCTACACATTTGTGGTAAGATTTTCTTCTATTTGTAAGTAGCATCAATGTCTAAGAGGTCATAAATAGGCTGTTTCGGATTGGATATGATTCGAGTTAATCTCCTACACAATACACATTCGAATGAGGTCAATTCAGGTTAAATTTGGGTCCGAGTCCTGTTGTTCCAGCCGGGCAGTTTTAACCAGGTCAGTCTGTCCGGGTCTAAAAGTTTGGAACTTGTCTAACCCCTGAATGAAACAGGGTAATGAACATTCAGTGTTCAAAGCTCGAACATGTACATGTACTCGTAATCCTTCTTAGAGCCTACAATGCAGCTAGATTACCTTGTTTGTTAATCAATGTCATATTTATGTCACTCTTTGCAAATAACAGGAGCTCAGAATGGAACCCAGGAAGTGACGGGAATTGCTTCAACGAAAAGGAACCGATCCATGGACCATACTGGGGGATGGGAACGAATCGTGAAATCATGAAAATAGTGCAAGAAACAATACAAGGTCTAAAGACAGAAGTAACATTCCTGAACATAACACAGTTGTCAGACTTCAGAAAAGATGCACATACTACAATATATACAGAAAGGAAAGGTAAACTTTTAACTAAGGAACAAAAGGCTGACCCGAAAAACTTTGCAGATTGCATTCATTGGTGTTTACCAGGAGTTCCTGATACATGGAACGAGATTTTGTATGCACATTTGTTACAAGAGTTTTATAACTAATCTCTTTGTTAGGACCAAATTTTGATTCATATTAATTACTATAGTGCTATACTATATTCTATCAAAAACAAAAGTTTTAACACGAAACATTGCAATGAGACTTTGAGAGGAGAAAATCAGGAGGTCTATTTTTCGAGTTGATTATGAAACGAGCCTGACTCAAGACCCTATTGCAGAGAACACCCTGAACCAGTTAAATCCCAGCCTATACAGAGAAGAGAAGGGGAAAATCTTTGTTTGCTTTAGGAGATTAGGCATGAATAAAAAGCACGACGTTATAAGATTTTGTAACACTTTATCCTGTAAATCACAAACTTTGAATTTTTGGTAGTTTAGAATTCATTAAACTGTTCCTTGTAATTGCATTGGAATAAGAATTACATATTTGAGTAATAAAAAAGAAGTATATATTTAGATAAAATGAAAATTTTGTAGCTCTACTAAACAAGTTGTATTAGTAATCGAAATTTCTACCTAATAGTTCTCTAAATCTTTAACCAACCAAGTCAAATTCCGTTTACCCAAGTTTATAAGATACAAGTCAAAATATATTATCACCATGAACACCATATAATCTGACAATCTCCCAGTCTATGTCTTCAACATACTCCGTTTCGAAATTCTTCAGGATGTTTTGGGCACTTTCACTGAGGTGACTGAAATCTCTATCACAGTTGCGATATGGTTTTTGGACCTCTTTACTTTCTTCCAGTGTCTCCCTAATTGGAATCTGGAACATTTTATAAAAGAAAAGGCAGAAAATGAGAATCCACTTTTAGGAAACAAATACTAATTCTTGGCTTTAATTCCAAGCCTAAAAAAAATTTCGACACAAATTCAACTATCAACTAACAGCAAATTTATAATTCATAACTGTCTTTCTTTCTAAAAGAAGGTTTTAATTGAAAGTACCTCATAATCACTTCCATATATATCGCGGCCATATGCTCTTCTGAATGAAACCGAGAGATCATCCTCTTGAATATCATCATCGAAGAGTGGTAATTTTTTCATCGCAACAGCTAACTTCTTCTTGTCATTCTCACCTGTTGTCTGCACTTGCACTTGGTCTCTGACGTTACCACGAGCATTCTGCATTTACAAACGAATAAAATCAAACATTGATCAGTAACAAAGGCCTGAAAGAACCGCGATCTTTGCAGTGAAACGGATAATACTAACATCCTAACGTACTAATATAGTAACATGAAGAGTAATAACCTGGATCATTATGTCATCAATTTCACGGCACATATCACTGATTGTCTCGTATATAACTTCAATAAACGACATACACCCGCAATTTAATATCGAGTTCAACATGATGGCGCTTTTAATGGAGATTAACAACACTCCCAAATTTTGTGCAACTCAAGTAATCTGCAATATTCAGAACTTCAGAAGTTAGCACTTAATTAGAAACTGGTAATAATGTGCCTTCAAATAAAATAAGAAAACTGGTAATAATGTTATAATGCAAGAATTATGAACATTAATATTTATACCTTATTTTACATCATTAAAAAATTAAAAATAAATACTATACCTTATTTTGTTACGTTAAAACACCAACTCTAGCATTATGATTCCTAATAATAGTCTAATTAATCTTTACAAATTAAATCACCATGTAAATCACACAAAAACACAAACCCAAAGTTTAGATAGTAACAAGAATTGAAACGCAAAAACTACAGTATAATTGGTTTCTTAAATGCTACTCTATTAAAAAAAAAAAAAAACGGTATCAATCATTGTAAAAACGCAACATAAAGAGTACGTCGGGTTGTTGATAGTGTAATTTGAACTAAAAACACGACAACTATATCCGGGCAGAGCAAGTAGTTAAAAAGATCAATTCTTGATGCAGGGAAGAAAGAAAAAAGACATAGGCGTTAAAGAAAAGGGCAAATTAAAGAAAGGAGAGAGTATAACCTGTGATGCAAAACAACGTTTTTCCAAAGCAATGATTTGTGAGCAGCTCTGCGATTATATATATAGTGATTCTTTCCAACAGAATTTATTTTCCTATTATAACTCTCAAGATATAATAAATAAAATAATAAATAGATAAAATTTGGAATTCAAGAATTAACTGGATTAGGAGTCCGAGTTCTAGTCAAACTACTAGTCTTAAATCTCTTAATTAAAAATTTTCGCAACTATTACAAATTTTTTATTTATTTTTTATTTTTTGAGAAAAAACTATTACTAATTTTTCCCAGTAACAAAAACAGATTATATATTTTTAGACCAATGATATAATTTATACACGACAATTTATTATAATAATTTGATTTATTAAACTATATTATCCAGTATTATTTATTTATAATAGTGTGTATTATTTTTTTAACTAAGGAAAATCAATCCACTCAAAAAAAAAAAAAAAAAAAAAAATCAATCAATCTTGCTCTGAATCCCGTATATCTGATCTAAAGCTTGGACCCAAGTCACCCAACATAGGTCTGTTTGAGGTCACCTTGACTCAAGCTTTGATTAAGAAGAATCCGATGACTCGGTTAGGGCTCAACAGCAACAAAGACAAGAAACATTCAGAATATGCACTGATATTATTACTACGGAGGCAAAACACTAGCTTGCTGAGATTGTTTAACCACAGAAAGCTGGTTTTCAGCAACATTTACATACTGGATTTCTTGACCATATTCCCCCTCCTCTTGGATTACATTATATTCACAATACAGTTCCGGTGAACGCTTTCCTAAACTAAATTCATCATGGTCAATGAGTTCAGGACCTGTTTCCATAGCTTCAACAGCAACTTCTTCCTGAACTGTCCCCGTGTTAATTAAACGAGGAGTCACGGCATCACTTGTGTTATTTGTGGTGATTATTTCCATGCTTTCATCAGTCTTTACATAATTAACTGCCTCGGAATACGTCAATTTTGTTGTCATATTTGCAGCTTCTGAATCCATGGCTACAGCAGTTTCCTCTTCTTCCTTCACCACCTTGACATTAATTGATAAATTCATGTTGACCAACTTGGTTGCTGCATTTGCGTTCAAATCACTTGAGACGGTAACGTCCTCGATTTCCTTCATCACCCCCGAACTTGCCAACTTAACAGGCACATTATCACTCATAATACTCGCAGCTCCAATTTCCATGCCTTCTGTATCTTCATCATCCTCCATCACTAGATCCGAATCATCCGATTTCACAAACTTAAATTTCAGATCTTCTCTCATATTATTTGCAGCGCCTTTACTGATAGTCCCATCTTCTTTAGCCAACTTGACCATCACACCTTCAGTAAGATTACTTGTAGCCTCATCATTTTCCCTCACTGTTTTCAAGCTCACCAACTTAGTTTCCTCATCTTTCTTCACTGTCACCAAATCATCCATGGTCAACATGTTTTCCCAAGTGTTACTGGCACTTGCAACCCCTGCTTCCTTGCCTTCTGCAACTTCCTCTTCTTCGTTCACGACTTCTAAATTCACCAGTCTATTTACCATAATTTTACTCCTATCACTCGCTACTCCTATACCTATGCTTACCGAAGCTTCTTCATCTTCCTTCACAGCCTCTAAATTCATCAACTTAACAGACAGACTTTCTCTCACATCAATAGCTCCAGAAGATAGCTCACCACAATTAATGCCTACAGCACCTTCCTCTTCTTCCTCTGCAACTTCCATATAATCTGACTTAATAGTCACAGTTTCTCTCACATTACTTGCAGACCTGACTTCAATACCTCCAGGAGATTGCATATCTTCCTTTTCTGCCTCCAACATCACCATTTCAGTTGCCACATTTTCACGAATGTTACTTGAAGCATTAACTTTCATGACTTCGGCAGATCCTTCATCTCCCTTCACTGTCTCTGAACTTTCAAACTTACACTGCACATCTTGATTTGTTTTACATGCATCATTGGTGATCTCACTTTCCCCACCCTTACAACCCACATGATTTCTGAGCTCTAAAACTGATTCAGCTTCCATAACCATGCTTTCAGCATGAGTTGCATCATCAAGCAGAAGTTCTACCTTTTTTTCCATTTTTTTAAAGACAAAATTATCTAGACTCTCCCTTGTGAATTGGTTCGAAAGAGAGTCGTCTTGATTTATATATTTTAGTAATTTTGGAAATCCACAAAATTTATCTGCTGTTAATATTTCAGCTCTGCTATTAGGCTTGTTCTGGGCAGGTGGTGTTTCCACGCATTCCACAGCACTAACAATGTATTGGTCATTAGCAGCTTGCAAACGATTGCTCTGATCTTCTATATCAAGTCCAATCTCTGACCCCACGTCAGAAAATTGGGATTTCATCTGGATATCACCTTCACTCGTTCTAAATAAACCAAATTGCAAAATTTTCCTATCCTCAAACTCATTTGTTTCTATTCCACACCCAACTGGTACGTGGAAAACCTCTTCCTCATTTCTAAAACCTGTTGTTACATTTGTAACCCTATCCTCCTGCTCCAAAGAACCCAAACCATTGAAAATTTCAGTATCCATTTCATCAGCAGCAGCACTCTTTGGAGCTTCACCTGTCTCCATATCAGATAAGGTCACCGGCTTAACTTCTAGTGCATTTGCATTTCCATTAAAAGTATCCTCTCCAGCATTTCCATACATGGCATTTGTTTCAGGATTCCCTTCCAAGCACTTACCTACCTTACAAGACTCATCACTGCCCACGGCAGAGAAATCTTCAACTCCTGAATTGAGAACAATTTTAGTCAGTATCATTTTATCATTGTAATTAGAACATCATCTACGATAAATGACTGTGACTATCATTGAACCTAAATCACCATTTGGTAGATCTGCAGCTTGATTCACGTAGAGTGTCTTTTTAAGCATCACAGTTCCTGGAAACACCATCAGGTTGATTTTGTTCAAGCTTCTTTTCTCTTCTTCCTCCACAGGAACAAAGCCAAAACCAACGGTCCAAGTTTCTACTAAATCAGCAATTGCAGTAATCACAAGCTTCTCAACTTTCAGGGATATGAGCATCTACAGCCATAAAAGGTTAAAAGAAATATTGAGTTTCTTCATATACATGAAAAGTGGGAAGATACATTAATCCAACTTTATTAATATAGATTCTGGTGAAAGTAAGTATTATTGGCTTCTGCAGTTATAGATACCAGGGGTAAAAACAAGTCAAACAACCCCATAACCAACCCAACACCACAGAGAAGGCAGCCAAATACAAAGTAAAATACCTTTTCAATAGAATTTAGCAAACTTCGGCACATTCCCTGTCGGCGATATTTGCTACAAGTTGCGATGAGTGGCATCTCTGCAACAGCTACTCCATGCACTCTGTAAACGTTGAGGTCAAATACTATCGTTAATTAGTTAGTTGTTAAGTGCAGCAATAAAGCACAATAACAAGAATATGATTATGACAATTAGACATGGTAAGTGATTTGTATAAATCATTCAAGAATAATGAAGAAATATGAGCCTATGGGATCATAAATACCACTTATGATACCTTATAGATGCAACTGATATCAGTACATCATCTTTCTCCAAGACAGCAGTATAAAATCCATGATAATCCAGTCTTGGAAATTCTGACCTGGCATCAGTAACATCAAAATCAGTCAAACAGATGAAAGAAGGGTGCTTCACAGAAATTTACTTCAAGCCAATCAGATAATAGCAATTTGATGGACAAAGCATGATGGTCCAATTACTGAGGGGCAGAAAGAATATATTTTCTGAATATTCGTGAATAATCCTATTATAGAAAGTTGGGGAAGCTTATGTTTGGTCTTTGTTCTTTTTTCCAATAAATCAGAGACTTCACTCAGAGAAAACTTCACACTATATATGCATGCTATTAGATTGTCATCAAGGACAATATAAGTGGAGTGGAGCATGAGGACAAATTAAGTATGACCTCAAATTTACTACTGCATTCATAACTCAGGTATCAATACATGGGAAAAAAATTTATATATATTATTGCTATTAACATCCAAACAACGGTACTTGCCCCCAATTGTACACCACTTGTGGTATCATATCTATGCCTGTTCTTGGATCGATCATAGAGAGGAAGCACTCCTCCATAATGGTAACAGCAGCAGCTAACTTAGAATTGCATTCAGCCTTTAACGCGAAACGTTGAGCAGAAGAAACTTTTTGGTCATCATGAATGCATCTCAGAAGGGTCCAGGTATAGTCATCAACAATTTTGTTCAACAAGCCAATACGAGATTGTATACCACCAAAGACCTGCATAATCATTTGCAGGACTGTGAAGGTCAACCAAAATTGAGGAAGATCCATGAACAATTTAAATGTCTAAATGGAATAATAGATAGCTTACAGTCTTCCACTATCTTTTATAATTTGTCCTACATGTAGCAGCCAACATTAACATTTCTGATGGGAAGTTGGGAACTAAAGTTATAGATCAGATTACCTGTTCACAATTTGAGCCACAGAACCAAGGTGCACCACCAAGCTTACTCATACTCTTGTCCGTCAAGCACCCTTGATGATCTATTAGCAGAATTGACAGTCATTACTTCACAAAGGAAAAGATAAATTACTAATCATGCCCGTAATATAGAGAATCTCAAGAAGACTTTAAAGTGAAGTCTTTTTTTTATTAACAGGCCACTATCACCAAGGTTCATAGGCTGATAGCAATACTCCGTTCCTGCCTCTTTAAGATAATATATTTTTATAAATTAATACAAAGATTAACAAATTCAGGGAATTAAAAAAATTGAAAAGGGCCTACCCTTGTTTCAATTCACAAAAACAGTTAATCCTGATAAGTTCAAAAAAGTTCAGAAAAGGACCAACAAGTTAGATGATAGGTTTAGATAAGTTCATAAAAGGGCTAACCGACTAATCTATTCAGAAAGGGTTTTTTAGGTGGAAAGAAAGAAGCTTATAGCAAAGAACATTCAAGAACAGTAAAAGAAGTATACACTTTTTGTCGCATTGTGAACACTTCAGTGCAGCATAAGAACTTGAGGTTCCTGCATCGTTGGCTAGTGCTCCACATACCTCACAAGTGCAGTTTGGGCAATACCAACTTCCTTCGGGAAGCTCCTGTGCCAAACAAATAAAAATCAGAATAACTTCATATTGAGGATGCTAAATTTTAGAAAAAGCAAAACACAAAGTGAAATAAAGAAAAAAGTATATAGTATATACATAATCAACACCGAAATCTTAAACCAGAACACAGGACATTCTACAGATTTCAACAGCTAAGACAAATACATGCATAGGAGCATGCACAATACATGCTCCTTACATAAGTACAAATACCAAT